AGTACTACTCAGCCATAAAGAAAGAGAAAATAGAGACATTTATAGCTAAATGGATGCATATCAAGACCATACTCTTAAGTGAAATAAATAGGACACACACGTGTAAATACCGAATAGTTTCTCTAGTGTGAGAAACTGAAAGTGTAAATAAGGGTTAAAATGAATAAAATGAATAACTGATAATTTGAAATAGGAAAAAAGGTCCAAAGACATAGGGATGAAGGAAGGGGACGGGGAAAGGAAAAAAGGGAAAGGAAAAACTATGAGAAAAGAAAAAAATATGGAAATGAAATCTAGGTCAATAGGGAAGAGTGGAGGGGGTGAAGGGCACACAGTTAATGGGGAAAAAATAAGAACTAAGATACATCATGTACACATACAAATACCCAATGATAAATGTAAACAAATTGTATACCTAAAATGTACCAATAAAAGAACTTAAGAAAAAAAAAAAAGAATACCTAAGTGAGCTAATGCCTTCAAACAAAGGAGCTAAACCCAGCTCTAACCCTGTTAGGGAGGCAGTGTTTTCATAGTGGCACCAGCTGACAGAGCTGCCCCGAAGCAATCACCTCATGATCTGTTGTTTTGCAGGGTATTTTTGTGAGCATCTTCTATACCACATGGAGCTAAGACTGCATCTAACATTCTCCTGGTACCCAGAACACAGCACCTAATACACATGTGTTGAATGAACAGATGCGAATGGTAGCTCACTAGCTAGAGTGGTGGCTGCGGCTCACTGGGGAGCCAGGCAACTGTCTAGTGCTTTGGAGACCTTGCATACACAGGCACCCTGTGAAGTAGCTGCTATCGTCACCTCACCGTTGTATAACTTGCCCGATGTCACACTTCAAGTGATTTGGATCAGGGTCATTTGGACTGGCTCAGAAGCCCTGTGTTTAAGTGTTGTGCTGCGCTGCATCCCCAAAAATGGACTCTGTTGTGTTATCGAAACAGTCCAGGGCCACAGATGGCTGTCCTTATAGAATCCATCACCCTGAAGTTTAAAAGATTTCCACTGGACCTGAAAACTTCTCTGGCTTTAATGTCAAATCTCATTTTATTAATTTCTTTTTCTGTAAATGGTTTTTGAGCTTTCCTTGCTTTTTTGTAGACTCAAAGGACATTCTCTACACAAAACCCTTTCCTATTCTTAAAAACTGGCCTTAAGAGGCTGGGAATTTAGCTCAGTGGCACCACACCCCTGCCTCACAAATGCAAGGTCCTGAGTTCGATACCCAGTACCCCCAAAAAACAAAAACAAACACAAAAAGTGGCATTAAGCCATGCTTTTGAATTCTTTTGTTTACATAAAAATTCTACTCCATAAAAATTCTACTCTGATTTTTTCTTGAAGAACCCAATTTTTATTTTTCCATCTTTCCCTAAACCTGTTCTAGAATGTAAAGAATGTAGCATATGTTCTTGCATTTAACTTTTCTTTTTATAAATTTCAACATCACATGAGTTTTTTTTTTTACATTATAAACAATAGGGCTGGTGATGTAGCTCAGTGGTGCCACCGCCTGCCTCACAAGCGCAAGGTCACGAGTTCGATCCCCAGTACCAAAAAAAAAAAAAAATTATAAGCAACAGCATTGTGTTGTGCATTCCTCTTGTAGTTCTGAATACAGATATGCAAATCTACAACCCTGAGCATGGACAGTCTCTGCTTTTTCTTCGTGTAAATCAGTCCCAAACTGCACTTCAAGTTTACTCTTTACTGGAATCTGGGTCTATGTTGTTGAATTCCATCGTCTTTGTGAATTTTAAATTCATCAAGATCATTTTTACACTTGAATCGAACCTTCCAGAGACTTACCACGTCACTTCAATTGTTATTTCCTTTTTTCCTTTCTGCTGCTGAAAGCAATAACTACAGGTGTTTTGGAGGAATTTCTCCTTGTGGTCTGTGTATTATGATCCATGGATCCATGGATAACTGTGGATTTCCATATTTTCCCCTCCTGTGACATGGCCACATGCCCACAGGAGGAGCTACAGTGTCTATTCATAGCAGCCACTGACACTCTGGATGGGCTCGACCTTCTAGCCATACCTCAGGCAGTTCCCTCAGCAGGAGCAGTTCCCTCACCCTACCTCTACCCCTAGCCCCTAAATAACAGTGATAAGAACTCTAAAGCAGAGGTGCTACTGATCTCAGGTGACTGTCAGTAATCTCATGTGCAATACGGAGATGGGCACAGATGGAACAACCACTTAGGCCAAACTGCCGTCAATGCAGGAAGAGGCTGAAGAAGGTAAAGACTTTCTTCTTCCCTGAGGAGTCCCTCTGCTTTCCTGGTAATAGTGCCTGAGGAGGCTGGCAGGATCTGTCATTGTGAATTAGCAGCATTTTAAGTGACTACAGCAACTCAGGTGGAGCTGCTAAGAATAGTGTGCATTTTGCCTGTAATTTATTAGAGAAGAGGAAGTGTAAGTGATACCTTTACCAAGAGGCTGAACTAGGCAAACAGGAGCTACCATGACCAGAGAGGGGAGGCTTGTTAAACTAAGGTCAGAGCTGAGCCCAAGTTCACTGGAAGCCCAGGAAAAAAAAATTTTGCAAAGGGCAGTTGCCAAACTGAAGTGCCAAGAGGTCAGCGAGGTGCCTGCCTAGAACATACACATTTCAGGCCACAAATTCAGCAAAACAAGAATGGAACCTTGTTCAGAACTAAACCTAAATTGATGTTGAGATGTACACCACTGGGTGGAGAACTGTGTGACAACTAATGGTCTCCCAGCCCCCTTCAACTGTTCTAAGGGACCAAGATCTTGTTGGTTCCCAGGCATAGTGAGGTAGTAGGGTCCTAGTCCTCTGTCCACACTGTCGTCATTCTGTCTGTCTTCTGGCCCTTGTTCCTGCCAGGTCACCACTGGCCCTATCCATCTCACCTGCAGGAAATTATCAGATCTGTCTACTATCTCAACTTTGTACACATTCCTCAGAAGTACAGACAACTTGGGCTTCCTGATGGACTTCTCTGGCCTAGTACTAACAGGTTCCCCGGAGGGTTCCGGGGCCTTTTCATTTTCCTGAGTTTCATTCTGAAAAAAAGAACAAATCCTCAATACTCTGGGATTCCCTAAACTTATGGAGATTCTATGTGTGGACACATAAGCACACATGGTTTGTGTTCCTACAGGTACACACACACACACACACAGCTTATGTCCTCTGGGACCTGTCAGAATCTAAACACTCGTCTCTGTTCTTGCTGGGATTGGGGGAATGGTGTCAAGGGCTTACAGTTTACTATCTCTTACTAAATTTTTTTTCAAAATTTTTGTTTATGACAAAAATCGTGTGCTTCCAGTTTTCCTCCAAGGTTTAACCTTGAAGCTTAGAAGTCTTGTCTCTGCTTTTCCTATGAATCATTCCTCCCTGGGGCACTGAAGGCTGCTGACTAAATAGAGGGAGGCCAGAGTAGCCTGACCTGGTGAGGGAGGGAAGGGGAGCCCCCTTTACCATCCCACAGCTAGGAGATGACCGTGGATCAGAAGTGCACTTAGTGTGAAGGTTTGAGGAATCTCAGGTTGCAGAGAACCAAAGGGCCAGACTTAAATGGTCTCGGTCCACAGAGCAGAGGCTGTGGAGCACTCTGGGGGACAGCACACACTCTAAGAAACCACCAAGGGCCATGAGGACAGGCAGTCCTCTCATTTGGGACTGACCTTTTGCACTGAGACAATGCTGACAAATAAATGCACCTTGGCTTCCAGTTAGAAACCAGCCAGTTCCCTGAGACCTTTCAATTTCTTTACTCAGAATCTGTAGTGTTTCCTTTGTATAAGCTGCTTTGTGGTTGGAGCTCTCCTCTGACTCATCTTATAGACTAATCCTGTAATTGAGGGTGTACACCAAAGAGCCCAAGAAACCCTCGTGGAAAAACCACGCTGCCACTCTGCCCATGAAAAGAAGCCATGTTCGCTCAGGAGTTACTTAACCTCCTTGAATCCTACTTCAGATGGCTATGAGTTCCTGGAGATCCTGAAACAGGTGGCCCGGGACAACACCGACAATCCTGATCTGAGCCTTGTGTGGATTGACCCGGATGACTTTCCTCTGGTGAGTGGCTCTGGCCAGGACCCCATCTCTGCTGCCCTTCACATTCCACCGTCATGTTTAGCACGAGGCCCTCAGCAGGAAGGAGGTGATGAGCTAGGCAAAGCACTTGAGGAAACTGGGGCCACTCCATGCAGTGTGGGAGGCCCTGACCACACTGAACTTGGCCTGGTACAGTCACTGAAATGATTAGACTTGCTACTGTTCTCACTCCCTAGAGACCAAGTATTGGGGACTCTCCGCGGGGCCCACCCCGCTCAGCTGAGTGGAGTCCTCCTACCAGCAGCTCCATAGTTGCCTCTTAGCCCACCACCAACCCTCTCTGCTCTTGTTTCGTTTACTGGGTAGGGACCTTCATTCTGAGGCAACCTGAATTACTCAGTAATAGAAAACAGAGAGAAATGTTTTTCATAGAGCTAAGAACTTGGTGGAGAGAAGGAGAAGCCTCTTTGAGAGCAAAAACCCTGCCTTTCCTTTCCATACTGTGCTCCCCAGGACCTGGCTTCGTACCCAGCACATGTTTCAAATATATGAACTTTTACAGTCCAAAGTTAGCCAGGCTGGATGATCAATGGCCAGAAGGCTTTGATTGTACTTAGTTTTAAAACAGGATGACAGAATTTGTACAACCTCAGTAATAATGATAATGGGCAGAGCTAATATCCTCTACTGTATGTCTGGAACTAGAGCAGGTTGTTTATATGCATCATCACAGATAATCCCCTTAAAGCCCTATGACACAGGCACTATTAGAATCCATATCAGATAGAGGAAAAGAACGACAGCTGGTGGGATTGAAGCTAGTATACAGTAGACGGGATATTCCAGTCGAGGTCTGTCAATACCAGATCTTGGTTTATTGATTGCTTCCGGCAGAGCGAACTACTGGTAAGTAGTAAAAGTTTAGTTATTCTTATCAGTTTTATCATTAAGGGATTATTATTCGTTTTTGGATCATGACTGATGATACTATAATCAAAGGGAAAGTGGAGGGGTTTTAGCGATCTCAAGGGTCCTGATGCCCCGTGCTACATAGAGAATGGGTGAATAAAAGGCAGAGATTTCCATGACACTGGAGGCCAATGTCATAATTCAGGGCAATTATAAGAAAGTCATGCCCATGTAAGGCTATATATGAGACATTTTTAAAAAAATTTAGCTCCTGTCAGGTTGCATTTCCAGTTTACAGGCACCATATTGTTACATTAGTTTGCAAATGGTCTGAAATTCTCCTGGCCAGTTCTACATGTTTGCCTTGGTTTCTGCAAAGGAATAACCTTGAGACTCTTCCAATTTTCAGATTCTTGAGTATCCCAGTCCCTAGCCGGCCCCACATTTTCCTGAGAGACTTACTTTCCCAGTCATCTCATGTAGCAGAGTGGCATGAGATTGGGAACTTTAAACATGGGACATTGAAAGAGCAAGGGAGGAAAATGGCTCTTTCACCATCGATAAAGAATACAAGAGCCACAAGTAATTTGGGAATCATCATTGGGTCATCTCTGTAACATTTTTCCTTACAGTTGTACAAGCTTTTATATTGTATTTTTCATAGTTTGTGCAATGACATCTTTTATTTAATGGCTAAAGTACTTGAGGGTTGGGCCAAGTCTGCAATTTCTTAAGAGCCCAAAGACCTTCCACCAGTGGTGACCCAGTTACTGTGGTAGAATGGCAGGTGAGTCCCCCAAAAAGCAGCTTTCACCGGGGATGCCCTCTGCCTGCTGTCTAATCTGATTCTGTGTTGCCACAGCTTGTTCCCTACTGGGAGAAGACCTTCAAGATTGACCTGTTCAAGCCACAGATTGGGGTGGTGAACGTGACAGATGTGAGTGTCTCCTATGCAAGCTTGCTCAGGCCCCTTCACCCAGCCCTGTTGGCTGCACTGCAGCCCCAAGTGTGAGATCCTTAGGAACCCAGCTCCTTCAGAAACAAGGAGAACCCCTGGGCCTGTCTGAACACAGAAACTTGCCAGCATGGCCCAGTCATGGTCTCTGAGCCAGGCCTACTCTGTTTCTATGCCTTTCCTCCATGGGTTCGTTTCCTTGCTTATGGGGCCAGCCTGATCCAACTCACAGATCTAGAACTTTTTACCCAAGAAAATTCTCTAAAAACCCAAGAGCAAGGTCTTTTTATACAAGAAAACCCACACCTGAAGCTGTCACTGCATAATGGGTGCAGCTGTGGCTCAGAAACCCTTGCAGGGAAACAGCAGGCCCACAGGAGGGAAGGATAAAAAGCCTGCACAAGGAAGGGGGTTCCTCGGGGTTAGGCACTGTCCATCGTCCATCTGAGGGTGGGAAAGGCCAGGGAGATGGACTGGCAGAGTGTAAAGAATTTCGGTCCTCGGTCCAGGCATCTGATGCAAATCCACCAAAACAAAACAGAAGTGGGCACAGATACAACCAGGGAAACAGTGGATAAAAAGGGGTACTCACAAAGGACCATTAGAGCCAGAATTAATTATGGTAGACTGTCTTATAGACAGTGGCCAGTTAGCCATGTCCTTTTGCCCATTGGTAAATGTTCAACCATGTGGGGAACTCTACATTTATTTGTTTTGTAAACAACTTTAAAAATAGTCATTTTAAAAATAGGTTAAAATTAAAACATTTAAAGATAGAATAGTATAAGTGCAAAGGAAAAGTTTTTCTCACTGTCTTGTACTTATCCCTAAGTAATCTATGGTAGCATATGTATGGGTAGTGGGATCCATATTTCCTCTTATTACACACATAGGATATGTGCATATCATTCTGCAACTTTAACAATGGGCACATATGCCGCATAGGTGTAGGAAACTGGGGGCTTGCTCAGCACAGCTCAGAAGCCTGTGGTCTGGCACAACCTTCATTCATTCACTTACCCATTCACTCTGTCCCTCACTACAGGCTGACAGTGTCTGGATGGAGATTTTAGATGACGATGATCTACCCACAGCGGAGGAGCTGGAAGACTGGATTGAGGATGTGCTTTCTGGAAAGATCAACACTGAAGATGATGACAATGAAGATGAAGAAGATGATGATGATGACGATGATGAAGATGATGATAATTCTGATGAAGAGGATAATGAAGACAGTGATGATGATGAATAGATCCAACTGCAAATGATTCTAATGTAAACAAAATCACAGCTATCCACTACCATAGAGACAGACCATGGTGGCAGCAAGCAGCCCTGCCCCACACTCAGTCAGTTCCTTTCCTCTTCCAACATATTTTCTCACTCCTTTCTCATCAAGAGCAAATGCCTTTCCAAATCCAGCAATCCCACTTAGCAGGGACAGGAGGGGAATGGGTGCCCTGTCGGCTTGTCTTGATCGTCATGGAACACTTCTCTTGTTCTTCATTACATCATCATGGAGTCACAGCAGTGCCAGAATTGGGCTGTCTGGGGACAATCCCTTAACACCTCTACTCAAGTTTACTTGTTGTCTTTGACTATGATGGTCACAGAACCAATAATTTGCTAACTCAGAAGCCTGGAGGGCCCTGGCAAAACAGATGATTAGTCAATTTATGCCCATATCTAGAACATCAGTGATCTCATCTCCAAGCCTTTTGATATCTATTGAGAGGCCTTGTGTAGGTGTCCCCAACATTTCTAGCATATCAGGATCCTGAGATGGGTGGTTAACTTCTGGCTATGTGACAAGTCTCATATTCACCAGCAGCTGGGGGCAGGGAGACAAAGGATTAAAAGCTCTTAATTTTTCAGATGGGGATAGGCTCACATCTCCAAATAAGTCAGCTGACCTCCCAGCCTGAGCTGGGAACTGAATACCCCTTCTCTGTCACTGCTAGTGAGCCTTCTTATTTAAAATTTGCCTTATCCAGTAGTCAATAACTCTCCATTTATCAGCACTCCCACAGTTGACCAGGGCAACAAAAATTGGAGTTCATAATGATGCCCTGAAACACTGAAAAAAAACCAACTCCAATGTGCCTTCTGGACTAAAAGTTCATTGTGCTTTGTAGTGTTAGCATTGAGTGTGCAGTATATAGTTCTAATTTATTTTTTTCAATCTGTTAACATATGAATCTGGGCAAGTTCTTTTTGAAACTATGGCAATCCTTTTGTGGAATAATAGCTAACTAACTCTGCCATTAAACTCATATTCTGAAAATTTGAGACCATCTTGAAAATCCTATCTTGGTTTTTCTGGTCTTTGGTTTTTCATTCTCATCTGGCTTTAATCCTACTTCTCTATTCTTTCTCTGTTTTCTTTTCAGGCCTCTCTTCATTGGCCTGACCTCCAAATGTTGGCATTTGCAGTGTTTCTCAACTCCGCATACTCTTCTAAGGCACTATCATCTGTTCCTGTGAACTATTACCTGTGCACTAATGGCTCCAAATGTGGGCCTCTAACATTGGCCTTTTGCCTTGGTTTTAGACCTACTCACTCAACTGCCTTTTCACGTCATGGTTTGAGTGCTATTCAAGCACTTCAAACTCGACATAACAAAACCTGAACTCCTACCTTCCCCCACTCAACTTCTCCTCCTGTCTATGAGGTCCCAGTTTGGATAAGTGATACCACCCTCTATACAATTATCTAGATGCCATGAAAATACCCTATTCCTCTCTCTTCCCACAGCATTTTGTGTATGCTCTGGGTCATGGCCCATCATCTACATTATAACAGGTTTGTCCTTCCACTGAATTGTAGGCTCCTTCAATGCAAGAAATTTACTTATCTTTGTATTTCCACCACCTATTACTTTACCTATCACAAAGCAGGTACTCATTTATGGAGTTGAGACATGAATAATTAATCAGAACAGCTATAATTCCCTATCGCTGTTTGTTGGCCAACAGAGCTTATGAGGTGAATCAGTTTGCTTGGGCTGAATATCACTGACTGGGTGGCATAAACAACAGAAGCTTGTTTTCCCACAGCTGCCAGCTAGATGGGTTCCTGGTGAGAGCTCTCTTCCTGGTTTCTCACTGGGTCCTCGCACCAACTCTTCCTAGGGGAATGGGCAGGCGCACACAGGCACACTCTAGTGTCTCTTACAAGGATACCCATCCTATCAGTAAGGGACACCATCCCATGACTTAACGTTCATTACCACCTTCCAGGCTCTATCTCCACATACAGACATATAGTCACATTCTGGGCTGAGGCTTTAACATGAACAGGGTCAGGGAGCCATGTCAGTCTACACACAGGGTCATCTAGAAATTAGTATTTTTCTCCCTATAAAGCCAGGCAGCTGCTTCTCCAGCTGTGCACCCAGGCCCAGATGCACCTCTAGTAAGCTCTTGGGAGAAGCACCTCCAAAGCAGTGCCTGGTGCTAACCTTTCATGTAGCCCATGAGTGCAGTCCATCAAGAAAGCAGTCTGTTTGCAAGTTCAGGAAAATTCCCTTGTTCCCAGGGGTCTGAGAAATGTGCATTAAGTTAAATTCTGTTATAGTGCACCGGGGCAAAGTGGATTGTGTCTGTAAGCAATACTACTACTTAGTTATTACTTTAAACCTTTTAAGGTGATAATTATTGAACATCTATGTGTGCCTGGAACACTATGCTAAGTGCTTTACATATGTTATCTCGTTTAATCCTCATAAAGGCTTATGGGGTATGTCTTGTTATTGTCTTCTTTACAGATCAGGAAACTGGGTGAGATGCACAAGGCTCCAGTAATTTTCCCAGGGTCACACACCCACTTTGAAGAAGTGTAAATACCGTCTAACTCCATATGTCTATTTATAAAGACTTCAATGCCTTAAATTAAGGAACAAAGAATTGCATTTTTAAAGATAGTGTCCAAAGATGATCTCAAGTAAATTTCCCATAACCTTTTTTATTGCTTAAACCAAATGTCCTTTCTCCTTTCATTCGGAAGATATCATAAACAAACAATATTGGAAAGATAGGCTAATTAGAAGTGCAAGATCTGGCCATCTTGGTATTTTAAAAAGTAAGATTCATTTTGTTTTACAGGCCCCATGACCATTTTCAATGTATTTCTGTTAGAAATCATCTCAGAACTTGAGATGAGCTTGTCTTTTCTGGAACACATTTGTGTCCTATGTACTCCCTTGTTTGTATCACCCCGGAAGCCAATCTTGTTAATAATATCACCATCCTGCTACTAGTATTATAGGACATTATCAAAAGATCTTTGCTCAACTGTCTCTACGAACTCAGACACACAAATTCCTCATAAATGCTGATCCCCGAGGCTCTGTCTGAAAACTTAGCACTTTCACTAGGTTTTCTCAGGCCTGCTCAGTAAGCATCAGGCTCACGCTCGAGCTAATTTTAGAAAACTCAGAGCTACCAATGTGCCATCTCCAGAGCTGGGCACTGACCATCTCCAGAGTCGCCGTGGACTGACTCCAGCCAGGGTGAGGACCATGCTCTTCCCACTCCCTCCACTCCTCTCCGGTCTATGGCTGGATGAGTCCCAAGCCCTCGTCTGCTGCCCCTGGCCAGCTCCCTCTGTGTGTCCCACCTGCGCATCAGACCAACAAAACTTTGGGGCTCTTAAGGGGTGCCTTTAGCAATTAGCCCCCTTTTCTGAAAATCTGAACCAAGGGAGAAATTAGGTCAAAATGTTAGCACAAGTTGGGCATGGTGGCACATGCTTGTAGTCTCAGTACTCTGGGAGGCTGAGACAGGAAGATCACAAATTCAAGTCTAGTCCAGGCAACTTAGCAACTTAGCCTCTTTCATAAATACATACATACATACATACATACAACATAAGGGGCTCTAGAGATAATAGCTTAGTGGGAAGGCTTTGAATTTAATCCCCAGTCCTGGAAAAAGAAAAAGGAAAGGAAAAAGAGAAAGAAAAAAAGAAAGGAAGAAAGAAAGTCTAAGATATCACAATTATTATGGAAAAGTATTACTGGGGACCCTAAAGGTCAGGGGAATAGGCTCCCAGCTTCTGGCCTCCAAGTGCAGCTCCCGCAAAATGTGTGGAAAAGACTCAAGCTATTGTTTCTCGGTGGGAGCAAAAGACTGGACCCATGGGGCCAGGGATTTAGCTCAGTGGTGCTGCCACCTGCCTTGCAAGTGCAAGGTCCCAAGTTCGATCCCCAGTACCAAAAAAAAAAAAAAGACTAGACCCTCACTATGAGCTTCACCCTGAGAAAAAAATGCACCAACAATGGTTGCTTCTAATCAGATAAGGAATCAGGGCAGGAGTGCTTTGAAAAAGGTCCTCTTCACAGATGCAGGGGACAGAGGTGAGACACTTCCCTCTGGCAGCGTTTCAGCCAGAAGTCTAGGGACTTTAAGTTGTAAGACCCTCTCACACCTACACCCAATGGGGAGTAAGCCCCGCCCTCTTCTCTTCCCGCCATTACTGCGCTCATTTGGGACATTTTCAATCTTTCATCTGATCTCTCAGCTCCAGTTCACTAAGAGGGTGCTTGCGACATGGACACTAACATCCCTCAAAAATCAGGCTGCTGCCCACACACTCTAGTGCCAGTGGGCCCTGACTCAGGCTCTGGGCTTTACCTGGTCTCATCCTGATATCCCTTACTCCACTTCCATAATCTCATATTTTATCAACTGAGATTCTCAAAATTCTTGCAAATTCTATAGCTATATTATAGGTAATGAATAAAAAAGAGAGCCTTTGGTTTACGTCTGCATATGGCTTTAATCTTTTCTCTACCAGAGTTTGGTTTTGCATTTATGAACTATGCACATCTTGGCCCAAAGGGTTTATCAATAATCTATATTATGAATTTATTCAGTTTATTGTTCTGATTCTCGTCGTTGTAACTAGTATGAGTTGTATGCTATCAGCATTCCATGCAGGTAAAGAATAGCTCAGGTTAGCAGAAGGTGGTCATCAACATTTCTTTGTCAAATGATCATTTTCCCTTTGAGTAGACCTGGAATAAGTCAATACTTTAAATTTAATTGCCAGCCACTCACAAAAACAAGCCAATACTTGCTCCTCACCCCAAACAGGATCTGATACTCTTCTCTCTTTACTTGACTCAAATAATCTTTTTCACTTGATTAATTTAAAAGGTCTGCTTCATTTCCAAATTTTAAAGGCCAAGAACTTCATCTCTAGTTATCTACTCATTTAGAACACTTTTGTCCCCATAAAATGAATGGCAATGGTAGTTTTGTTACAATGGTAATTCTACTTTCCCAACCTATCATGATGAGTTTTCATAAAAACATGACAGGTTGTCCTTAAATCAAAATTGTACAAGAGTGAAAATGTTCCTTAAAAAAACCCAACTTTTTAGGTTGAAATAATCACACAGAAAAGAAACAATATACAATTTGGGATTTCAATTTATTTTTCAAGTTTACAGTATAAAAAACATAACGTGTTTAAAAAATGTGTTATAGTTAATTGGGATGGAGAAGGGCTATAACTGGAGGACCCAAAAGAGAACAAAATAACTTAGATACCAGGAACACTGTGTCCATGACAGATCCTATCACAGTGAGAAGAAGTTTCATAGCATAAACTTTATGGAAATAGGAAAATGGACTTGTACGGATGGTTGCTGGTAGTGTAATTCACTCACATGTTCAGAAATGTCCCACTAGAGCCCACGCCCAGTTAATACAGCAACACATTACTTAGACTGTCATACGCATTTGGTGACAGGTAAGCAGAGGTTAGTTAGCAAACATGTCCTTCCTGGTAACATGCAGTAGTAACTAGTAATCAGAAACAGCACAAAAGGAATCCAATCACTTTTTCACAGTTGACTCCAGCACACAGAGACTGATGGTTTCATCACTGAACTTTCTGGATGAATGCTGCACTCAAAATTCAAAACTGTAAAGTCTTGCTAACAAAGGCAATTGTGAAATAACCTCTCAAGTAAGACCTGGCCCAGGCCTCTCTGGTTTTCTCACTAACACCTTCATTGAGGATGCAGACATCCAAGAAATGCGTTAAATTCACTGCCCCAGAGAGTCAGTTTATGTTCCCCATCTCATCCTTGCTGGTGCCAGGTTCTCTATGAAACAGTTCATGAATGGTATCTTGCAAATTAAATTTGGTTAAGCATGGCATAATTTAGACCAGAGGAGTTTGCCATTTAATTAAAACCTAGAATGAATCTACTGTAAAAATAAGAAATGAACTGGCAGTGGCACACACCTGTATTCCCAATTACTTGGAAGGCTGAGGCAGGAGGACCATGAGTTCGAGTTCAGCCTGGGCAACAAGGTGAGACCCTATTTCAAAATAAAACAAAAGAGAGCTTGAGATATAGCTCAGTGGTAGAGCACTTGCCTAGCACATTCAAGCTCCTGGGTTTGATCTCTAGCCCTGGAAACAAAAATATAATTAAAGTTTAGATTTTTTTATGTTCCTTTTGAAAGGAAAAAAAAAAGAATGATGACCAATGGTAAGATTTCATTACTCCTACAACCGAGGGGCACTGACACAAGAAAGCACTGGCCACATTTCCTTCCTCGCCTACACCCACAGTGATGACACACAGGTTCGAATGCCCTATACATGAGCTGAACTGAACTTATCGTCTGCATCTCAGATCCGCACAACTAATTCCCTGAGACAGTCTCAGTGCTCTCAGATGACAGTGCTCTTCTAGGCTAAGGGCTGTGTAGGGTTTAAAATACCTAAATGCTAAGCAGTTTCACAATGAACACTCCTAGCCACAAGTGAAAGCTCACATAAATCCAGACCCACAAAACCAGACAACTGTACATTCAAATATGCATCCCAGTACTGTTTCAGTGCCAAAAGATGAACCAAAGTCACCCTTAAGATAAAAGCCTGGGGGGTTGTTGCATTTGTCCCCAAGGCTAAAATAAATGTCTTTATTCCACTAAGACAAAGACAGAACACTGCTGTTTCTGAGAGACATCAACTGTGGACTCTCAGCACCATAATGCAAGTAACCTGCCCCCTGCTGCTGGGACTTTAGGAGTCTATAGGTTTGGAGAGACCCTCTAACAGCCCTCCAAAGAGATTTATTTCACAGGCAAAACAAACTGGGTTACCCAACGGGATACTGGACAGGTCCTAGTGAAAAGGACTGAGTCCTAAGATCTAAATTTACTCAGTAGTTTTGCATTTCTGCCCCCTCACTTTGAAATCTCAACTTCCTAATGAGAAGCACGGCTGAGGGACGTGAGTGCCACTCTTTCTCATCTTCCACTGAAACATTAGGACAGAGAAAGATGGTTTATGCACACATGAATGAAAACTCAGACAGCAGAATAGAGGAACTCTTCCCAGAGTTCTGAGGGCAAGTTCAGGGAAACTGGGCTCAAATGGCTTGCTGAGAACATGCTGTCGAGGATACAGGAGAACCTCCAGCTCCAGGCCTCCCAGGGCAGCCTACAGATACTCTTCTCCTTCCTTCCCCTGCAGAAGGGAGTGGACCTGGCCCTAAACCAGCAAGAGGCCAGCTCAGGCCCCTACCACTCCTCCCTCAAGCCTAAGGCCCATGCACATTCTGTCCACATCAGCAGGAGCGGCAGAGAGTAGGAGAGACAAGAGCACAGGGTGTCTGCGGGAACATGGCACCTCTGGGTCTTGCAGCAGCTGCAACACTGACAGGGCTGGGCTTTCCTGGGAGAAAGGTCATTCTCAGGTTCTTCCCCCTATCCCCGGAAACCTGCTGGTATGCTGGAGAAGTGTCCTGAGAGACCACAGGGTATAGACCCAAAGTGAAAGAAGCAGTCCCATCTCCCATGAACACCCCGCCTTGGGTCCTGATTCAAGATGGTGTCTCTAGGTCCCTCCTCTGCATCCAGAAATGTCAGACCCTACATCCTGCTTCAAGGTGAAGTGGGCAGAGAGACCAGAATAAAACACTTCTCTGAAATTCCATATACTAGCCAAGAGTCAGATCTTCCTTTTTCTCACCTGTAAAGCAGATAATGCCTACCTCAAAAGAACTGGGAATTAAAAGGTGTGTAGAGCAGTAAGTATCTGACACAAAATACCTTAAAAATGTGTTAGTACACTTCCCTTCCTTCCATGACCAAAATACAATGCTTTGTCAAATGGGATCCAAAATTTTAACTGAGTATCTTTTTGATTAAAGCATAATACAGTGGCTTGATGAAGTACCTAACCTGCCTTGACTCAGCTATGCTGAATATCATTCAAGAAGTGTACTATGGGCTTAATAGCCCATGTTTTATCTATCATGGAATATGACAAAGTTATACAGTAATAAATTCACAGTGGTGATTTCTTTTTTGTATGTAACAAGATCCATAAAGCACAAATACAACCCAGAAATACATCACTTTACAATCGAGTCTCTGCTGCAGGACTAGTTAAATAAATATGTTAACATTTCTGTGCTTTTAGCAACCAATCATTGGTTTTCCTTTTCTTTTTATCTGAGTTATATTAAGATATATATATATAGTAAGGCTTCCAGGGTAGTGAAGTTTGAGCAGTAATTCTCACAGATCTTGACCTTTCTTTGTTTCTTGCTGTTCTGGGTCACAGGGTCCTAAAGCAAGACAGAAGAGCATGGGCATGGCTGCAGGACAGCGGGTGTCCAGGAGATATTGCTGAGCCCATTACTCCTGGGTGAGAAGCCAGCATAACTCAGGGAAAGGAATAAAGTAGGGGAGGAAGAAGAAACTGGTTTTAGAATCGCCTTCCAAAAGCCAGGAGCTTGGGAAATCCCCACACACAGGGCAAATGTAGAAACATATACACCCTCACACATTCAGAAACATGCTCACAGACACGGACACAGACATCCACACTCAAATATGCATCCTCACGCAAGGAGCCTTCCACAGCAGGGGCCAGGCAAGGACCCAACTTTGTCAGTTTCACTGGGGGACTGGAACACTCAGTCCATGGGCTGGTGATCCATTTGTTAGTCCAATATGCTGGTGGCATCTTGCAAAACTACAGCCACTTTATACATACCCACACTGAACACAATGAGATGCTAAAGAGAGCCAAGGGCCACCACAGACTGCAGGGAGAGGGGCAGGCTTAGCACCCCTTCCCTACCCAACACACCAACACGGCCAGGCCCTCCATTAAAAAGGAGTCTCAAACTCCTGCAATGAACTGCAATGTGGTAAACACACCAGAGCCATCTACTCTCATGCTTTGCTGAAAAGAATCTGTCCTTTTTGTACATTTCAAAGGGGAAAGACCAAGAGGAAGAAAGGGAGGTAATAATAGCTGGACAAAAAATTGGCGGTTGAGCATTCTCTAGGGCTTACTTTATGAACTTTAGCAAAGGGCTTATGCATTTTGACTTAATGGATAATTCAAAGGATGGATGAACTACATAACCTTAAAATCCCAACTCCCAGAATGCACTTTTTAATTTTAACATTCACTTCACGTTCTATTAAAAAACTGCCATGTTTTTACAAGCACACACTTATGAACAAACATTATCTACTGGTTACAACACCACCAGGGAAGACAGCAATCTCAGACCTACACTCCTCATTAAGTTCCCCTTTCACAGTTCATGTTAGAATTTTAATAACTTAAGTTGAAAGCTACAGAAAATCTATAAACATTTAAGATAAATGAGATCCTGTCTCCTCTAATACAAACACACATTTTACTAGCCTTAGGGTACAGTTTACCCCCTTTACAAAGTATGGCCTACAGGTTCCAAGAACTGGCATAAAACTTTACTGTGTTCAATTGTGTGGTTCAGCTTTCTGCAGCCTTACTTTTTTTAAAAGCCATTTACCTGGCTCCCACTGCACCAGTAACTCTTTGGAGGTTGAAAGTGCAAAGGCTTTACAAGACTCCTGTGTTTGATTTTGTTATTCCTTCAAAATGCACTCAATACAAAGTTAGTGTTAAAAAAATCGATATCCAATTTAAAAAGAAACAGTAATTTCGGAAAGTCTGACATTCTTCTATGCAAAGAGTCAGAGAAAAAGAGAAAATAAATTCTTTAGTTTAAACCTATCTTCACCTCCTGGGAACGTACGCGCAATAGTGAATGAATCTAACGCAACCCCTTCTGGACTGGCAATTTAAGATAGGGCTGGAAGCACAGTATTTTTCGATGCTGATGAACAGTGTCATTATTGTTTTACAAATACAGCACTTCCAACTGCACCGCATTTATGTGCAGCAAGTAGTCTGGGACATTAGCCCCTTTACCCAGTCAAAGTTTCACACACATTCACTGCTCCTTACCCTATCTCCCAAAGTATTTCCTGAGAAAGATGTCATAAGGAACTTCCAGTCTGAAGGGAGCTAGAGGCAAAAACTAAGAACAAAAGCACCATGGTTACATGATATGTGTTTTTCATAAACAGAACTGTGACACTAGACAGTACATCTTGGCTCCATGCCACACCTTGGGTTTCCCCTTCTTTCTTTCTCCTCCAATGCATCTTTTTTAGCTGAAGGCTGTTGATTCAAGAATAATGTTTGCTTTCTCAGTACAGGTGTACTAAAACACCCAAAGCCAACCATGATTTTTAAAATGGCACACGAGACACTGTACCACTTGTGGAATGCATAAGACAATAAGGTTATATACACATACACAGAGAGCATTTGATAGCATCATCCTGAAGCAAGGTAACTATCATAAAGATCTGAGAGAGTGAACACTTTTTAAAGGTTTGCTGCAGACATAGGAAGGCAAAGAGAGGCAAAGATTACCCACTGCAAGGTGTAGGATGTGGCCCATAGGAAACAGATCACAGAAGAACCATTCCAACCCAGGAGACTGGCTCCCTATTCTCCTTTCTCCAAACTCCACAGCATCTACTCGCCTCCATGTGACCAAGGACTGAAAGCTTGGAGAAGCCATGCCAGCCCCGCTCCTGGTAGTAAGTGGCTGAGGTGATAAGGTGCACAGTGACAGTGATTAGAAAACACAGGGCTGGACAGCAGTAGCCGCCAGCGTGGTTGGCACTGTTTGGTCTCCCTCGGCAGGGCAGCTTGGGATAAGCTTCGTGACGACTCACCTCCCTGGGAAATCAGATGGCTCCAAGAGGCACCTGCCAACCCCAGAGTCACAGTGTTAGTTCCCCCTGCTCGGTATGGTGCAGGGGGAGGACTGGGTTGGGTAAGCTTTGGCTGCAGCCTAAAAGAGGCATTCCAGCTGGCTGGCTCTCCCGTCTTCTATCTGGTAGGCCACACAATACTTCCCAATGGGACAGTCTAGGATGGGTGGCATCCAGACTGTGCAGAGGGCTTGCGGGGCACACATGGAGAGCCGGGTCCAGCAGCTCTGGCTAGAGCTGCACATCAGGAGGGGCTGTGGGGAGTCTGCTCAGGTGGATGGGGTGGACCGGAGCCAGGGTGGGAAGTCCCAGGCCTAGGAGCCGAACAGGATCAGACAGAGACATGGCAGGTAGGTTTCTCTTTGGGAAAAAACAAAAGTGAATCACTTAATAGCTGTAACCTGATAGTGTGAATTTTTTGTTGGGATCTTTCTCTGAGGAATCTAAGGCAACAAAGAGCAAAGGTGAAGGCAGGCATCTCCTAAACAGCTCCAACTCCCACAGGGAATCCGGTGATGCAGATGATGACACATGCGCATGCACACGGAGGTGCAGTGTCCGGGTTCCTGGAACAGAGGAGAGATGGGTCCCCTAGAATCTTCAAGGCGGTCGACCAGAAGTGATGGGGCTATGGGACGGGCTGAGTCAGGGACTAGTCGTAAGGCGAGGCTCCCAAGGACATAACAGCTCCGCTTTGGTTTACAGCATCGGCTTCTCCAGAAGTCCCACCTTCCAAAGTGAAGATGCCACCGGTCACTCTGTCGAGGTGGACATCTCCTGCGTCCTTCCAAATAAAGTGCAGATGGTCAAAGGATACTGGTCTATCATCTGCCAGCTTCAGTCAGCAATGAAGAATAAAAACATGTAGAAAAAAGACACCCCTCTGGACATATATATCTCTCTCTATATTCTTTTTTTTTAATAAAGCCACAAATATAGAACTTTTAAACTGATGTCTCAGACTGTAAGCGAAGGACAAACTTGTGAGACTTGGGGTCTATAAACTCTTCAGAGAGGATGATGAATGGAATTTTCTTCACATTGACAATGAGGCTGAAGTCCAAGCATTTAAGGACAAAAACAGTTCCGTCCTGTAACCCGTTAGTCACAGCCTCCTCACTGATAAGTCTCCACTGCGTAGAGAGCCAGCGGTCCTTGTCATACTGCAAGGTGGGGCCTGCACTGAGGTATCGTTCTAGGAAGGCCTGAAAGTGAAGAAAGAGCATTAGGGAAGAAACAACATGGAGAAAGCACATTAGGGAAGAAAGACACATGGGGTGGGGGCGTCCTGCCAGGGGCTACCCTTATATATAGGGAAATGGTTCCCAAGGCACCAAAGGTCTTCAGCCAGAGCCCATCTTACCACACTGAATTTCCTCCTCTCGTACCTCCCTGCTGGGTGGGAAGGCTTCTTGGCCTTCCTCAATCTCTTTTGCCAATTCCCAACCAGAGGTGAACTGGAGGTACCCAGAGGCAAACAAATGGGGGTGGGTGGACACTGTCACTGACGCACCTCTCCTCGAAGGGCAGGGGCCCACTGTATGTGCTCCTCTCTCTCTGCCAACCAAATGGAAAGCTCCTTGGGGAGCAGGCACAAGGGAATACTCAGAGCATGCTTGGTGAATCAACACAGGATGGTACTTGCATCGAAAAATGTGCCTGCTCTACCACTTGCTGGCACTGACTCTGCATGAGTTATTTATCTTGTCTGTAAGTAGAGATAAGTACCACTCTTATTCTTTGGATCTGAAATCTCCCCCAAAAGCTCTGCGATGAAGGCCTGGTCTCCAGCTGATGGGGCCACTGGGAGGTGGTACCCAGCTAGAGAAAGCCCAGTGCGGACACGTCCTTGAGGAGCACATGGGGACCCTGACTCCTTCCACTCTTCTTCTCTGCTTCCTGGCTGCCATCAGGTGAGCAGCTTTCCTGTTGCATACCCCATCCGCCATGATGTTCTGCCTCAACACAGACCCAGAAACAACAGCGCCAAGTGACCATGGACTGAATCTTCTGAATCCATGATCCAAAATAAATCTTTCCCCCTTTTAAACGGTTTTTCTCAGCTACTTTGTCACAGCAATGGAAAGCACACATTGCAGGGCTTAATATGAACAAACTCTAATACTGGAAGGACTAGAGCTCAGGAAGCACTTAGCTCTGCCTGGTGTAGAGTAAGCACAATCAGAGTGAGTGATGATTATTTCATGGTGAACCGTGTGCACACACGGCCAGCCCACGGGACGAACAAGGCAATGTCCCCCTCCCTGTCCTGAGTTCTTGTTCCAGAGGCATCTACCTCGCTTGAGTTTGCTGATCGCATGACATCTTCACATGTGCCATTCCGCCTCCTACACACTGTTCTACAAATTCCTTCTTGACCTTCAAATCTCAAACCACCTCCCTGAACCTCTCACACATATTAATATGTGCTCCTCAAACATTTTATAATCGATCGCATGATCTCCTGTGATATTTTACTTTTAGACCTATTATTGTTGACTTCCTTGCCTTTTTCCCATACTAGACTTCACTCTCCTCTAGAAAAAGGAACTATGTTTTCTATTTTCAAAATCTGAATTTCCAATGTGCCTGGTACGGACTAGGAGCTCAAGGCATGTGAATTAAATATACAACAATGATTTAGCTGTGAGAAGAAGAAGAAAAGGGCCAGTAACACAGGTAGAAAAACATTGGGGCAAATCAATCTGGTCCTAGACAGAGGCCAAGGAGAGTTTTAAAGCAGGAACCCCTTCCATCCACACCTTGCTGCTATTGCCAGGTATATTATTTCTTATGGGGTGAGGGGATCTCTTCTAAGGGAGAAAGTAGAGCTTTACCTACTTATGTACCTCTAATATAAAAATAGCTCCTATGAATCATGTGAAAAAGAAGTAATTCAAGACTGAGAAAAATTAAATAATTTGTAGAATAACTTAATGGAAAATTAACATGAAAAATTTTCTATCACATTAATAACTAAAGAAATATATATTAAAATATTTCCTCCTCTAGATAGGAAATGATTAAAAAGAATGACAACATCCATGCTGCCAAGAATGTGGGGAAAAAGTCTCCGCTGCCAGAGGGAATAGTATGAAATGGTAACAGCCCTGAGCAGGACAACCAGGCAGAATCTGTAACTTTGATCCAGCTGTTCCTCCACTAGAAATTTATCCTTCAGAAACGAAATACTTGCATAAATACATATAAAAAAAGATGTTCACTGCCAAGCTGTTAGGACAGAGGATGACAGACTTTTCTATAAATGTAAATATGTTCAGCTCTGCAAGCAACACGCTGTCATAACTACTCAACTGTGCTGATACAGAGTGAAAGCAGACACTGGCAGGTAATGCACAGGGTGTGGCTGGGTACCAATAAAAGCTGATTCACAAGAAGGGCCTCTGGTTTCGGCCAATGAACCTAATATGCACCAACCTAAGCAAATCACAGGACTTGGTGGAATAAGATATAGCAATTAAGAGGGAATGAGTTAGATCGGCATGTCAGATCTGTATGAGTGAAGTCTGTTCTTTACTGACATGGAAAGAGTCAAGGAGCTTTAAGAGAAGAAAAGGAAGTTTCCAAAATATATACATAGACAGTATGATCCCATTTCTGATTTTCCATTTCTAGTTTCTAAAAAAATGCACACGTACTTCTAAAAGAATATATAACAACTCCTTAGCAGAAAGAACTGCTGGGGTGGTGAGGGCAATGGAAATGTCACTTTCTACAGTAAATTTTTCTTTAATGTTTGGGTTTTTATTCTAAGGCTATTATTTTTAATACAGAAAAGTATACATTTGTAAATGAAACAGGAAGCAATCAGGAAACTCTTGAATCTTGAAAATGAAAACTGTTCTCATGGTTCAAGCCATCAGTCTGTACATGCCAGTAATATTTTCCTTCCTTACACCCAGTGTTGGTATCTCTTTGTATTCTGTTTTATAACTTAGTGCTCAAGGATTTTCTCTCCATATTTCAACAAGTGATATACTATAACTTGTAAGTCATTGATTTAGTTTTAATTCTTTTCAGTTTGGAATTCTTAGAGGTTACCATGCAAAAATTTTTTTTAAATCCCTTTGTATACATTTGTATACTATACAATAGTCCCCAGGTGTCCATAGAAGGACTGTTTCTAGGATCCCCCCGTATACTAAGATCCAAGTATCCCCAAGTCCCTCATACAGAATGACATACTTTTTGCATATAACCTATGCACATCCTCCTGTATATTTTAATTCATCTCTCGATTACTTATAAAACCCAACAGAATGTAAATGCTATGTAAATGGGTGCTATACCAAATTGTTTAGGGAATAACAAGAAAAAAGTCTCTATGTTCAGATGGATGTATTCCCTCCTGCCAAAATGTTTTCCATCTGTGGCTGGTGGCATCTGCAGATGTGGAACCCACAGATTTGGAGAGCTGGCTGTATATCTGATTATGCTGAATATTTTTAACAGAGGGTTTACTAAGTCAAAGAATATGGAAAGGCTTAGGGTTTCTTACTGAATATTTCCATAGCACTTCTCCTAAGGGTTGCAGGACTGATGATGTAAGCTCAGGATACATACATAGTGTGATATACAACATGGTCCTTATTAAAAATGGCTGCTAAATGTTCCATTAAAGCTGATGCTAAAATGCTAATGTACATTAAAGCTGAGCTCGTTCACTCTCTACCATGTGATTTATACACCCTATTGCCATATGTAATGCCATTCTTATACAACAACCCCACTGGGGAGATTTCAGTAATACCTCCATTTTATAAAAGAGGAAACAGTGTAACTTGTGCCAATTTAGTGGTAGAGCCAGGATGTGAACCCACTATTCTCTGATAAGATACCATTTGCTACATCCTTAATCTATTTTGCCTCCTTGGCCACCCCCCTCTACTAGATACAAAGATACTTCTTGTAATAACTCAAAAAGTATGCTTATGTCATAATCCAAAAGACCATTAAATAAAACTAAATCTGCAAATCCAAAACGCCTAACATAGTGATGGCATTATTTCTACCATAACAGTAGCTATTCAGTCAGTCTTTATCATATGATAGGTACTATTTTCAGCATTTTACATGAATTAATTTATTTTAGCTTCCAAAATGACGAAATGAGGTAGGCATTATTACCATCCTCAGTTTACAGGTTAGGAAAATGAGGCCGAGAGCCAGTAAGCCATTTCCCTAAGGTTGTAAGCTAGCTGGTGAAAGAGCCAGCTTAGAATGAGTCAGTTCAGCTCCAGCAACCACAGGGTATCCATTATGCACACTGCTAATAGGTGAGATTCTCTCCTCTGTTAGAACTAGAGGCCTCTGAAAGGCACTTAAAAACAACTGCACTGGGGTACAGTAAGTATGAATCACCAATTCTTATCACTTGATGTTTTTGAGAAGCCTTTGATTTTATCATTTCTGGTACAGGTTGAGCATTCCCTAATCTAAAAGTTTTAAATCTAAAATGTTCCCAAACCTCCAATTTTTGGGGCATCAGCATGACACTATATATGCTCAATGCACACAAACTCTGTTCCATAAACAAAATTACTAAAAATACTTTATGTCTATGTGTGTGAAGTGTATATGAAGCTCAGTGAATTTCATATTCAGACTTGGGTCTTAGCCCAAGAGTATCTCATTGTACACATGCAAATATTCTGAAACCTGAAAATAATGTCATACCGGAAACACTTCTGGTTCTAAGTATTTCAGACAAGGATGCTCAATCAATAACACTCTAAATGTGACCAGCCAAGCCTGATGACCAGTGGGGCTGACAGCGGGCCGCACATCGCACCTTGGGGGTCATGCTGTTGGTGATGCAGAAGGCCAGGTGCTGCAGGATGCTCTCCATGCTGTGGTAGTGCTGCTGCCGAGTGGTTCGCAGGTACTTCTGGAGTGCCCTGGCCATGGATGGGAAGATGGCCTGTGCTGCTTCCCTGGGGTCCATTACCTCCCCTGGGGCTTTCTGCTGCTCCTCGGCCTGTAGACGCTGGATATGGATGAATGCTTCTTCCACGGCCACCACCAGCCTGGGAAGTGACAATGACACAGTCATCAGGGGGAACCCATCAGGGTGCTTGAGAACAGTCTCTCGGGGCTTGGAGGGCCACGGCCCAAGCTGATCCTGCCACTAACTTGCCCAAGGCTTGACCATACTGCCCTCCAAAGGGTTGGGGGAGAGAGAAAGAATTAAGAGTAAAAATAAGATGTGGGATGAGGACCCTAGGGCTGGGAGACGAACTCTCTTCTCAGTTCTGCTACTAATGAGCTTGGGAACCTCCAATCAATTTTTCATGTTGACAAAGAAAGTTCAGCTTTAAAGGGTTTGGAGGGCCCTCAAAACACTGCCTAAAAGAGCTCTGTGTACACAGAGAGAGCTAGTGAGCAGAAGCAGCTTACAAAGAAGCAGAGAATGATCCCCCCAGACCCAGTCACCCACTCTACCTGGTCCAGGGGCTCCCAGGAAAAGGAAGGAAGGAAGGGGTGTAACACACATACGGAAAGGACCTGCTACGATTTGGGTCAAAACTGTCCTCAAAAGGATCACGGGTTCAGAGGTGGGGCTGTGGAAAGTGGACCATGGGGGCACTAACCTCCTCGATGCACTGAGCTCATAGCTAAACGGTCTGTTAGGAAGTGTGGGCTTGCTGAAGGAGGTGGGTCACTGCAGGCATGTCCTGAAAGGGATTATCTTGTCCCCAGCCCCCTTCTCTCTTCCTGTCTGCTTCCTGGCTGCCACGAGGTGAGCAGCCACCCTCTTCCACCACAAGGTTTCTTTCGTTTTTGGTATCCGGGATTGAACTCCGGTCCTTGTGCTTGCAAGGCAGGGGGCAGAACCACTGAGCTAAATCCCCGGCCCATCAACCATGACGTTTCTGCCACACCACCTGCTTAAAGCAAATGCAGCTGGCTGGCCATGCTGAAACCTGTGAAACCATGAACTGAAATAAATCTTTCCTCTTTCAAATTGATTTATGTGAGGTGTTTCACTACAGTGATGGAAAGCTGACGAACACAGAAAACTGGTACTGAGAAGTGAAGCCATTGCTACGACTATACCTGACCGCGTAGTTCAGAAACCTTTGGAGTCGGTTTGTGAAATGAGTTTGGAAGAGTTTGGAGATGCTCACCAGAGAAGCCTTGGAATGTCATATGCGGAGCTTAATGAGCAATTATGGTGCAGACTCAGAAGACCAGAATGCCCATGGGAATGTGCTCATGAGGTTTCAGGTGGGGATAAGAGCTCCAGTGGGAATTGTACTGAAGGCCATGCAGATTACATTCTGGCAAAGAACTTGTCGACATTTTGTCCATGTCCTGAGACCATGAGACTGAATTTTAAAATGACAGACTAATCTGGCAAAGGAAATTTCAGGGCAGCAAAATCTTCAGGCAGTGGCATGTGTATTGCCAGCTGCCCTTAGCCTCATTTAAATATGAATCATTAGGAAAAAGCAGAGTGGAGAGATTAGACAAACTTGCAGTTTGTCCAGAAGTGCATTCAAAGCTGGGGCCAAGGAAGGTGGCTGAAAAGATTAGTGCCATTAAGAAAAAAGTGCTAAGTGTTTTGCACTGGGACACAGGAAAGATGCCCTGAGGACATCTCAAGAATTGATCCAGCCCTGACCCATTGCAGTCTTACAGGGGTAAAAGTATGAATTCATTTGAAAGGCTCTTTTGACAAGAGAGAACCAGCATGCCCTGTTCCTGCAGGGACACCTAGGAAGTTGCTTCCCAAGTATTCATTTCACTGTGTTCTGCCATTCAGGCTCAACCTGAGAGGCCACTGCATCCAGGGTCCCAGTAGACCCAGCAACTGCTCCAGTTAGTGGCAAATCTTGGCATCATTTACATGATTCTGGTTTTGCAGGCATGCAGAATGCAATAGTTATGGGGTCATGGAAGCTTCCCCCAAGATTTCAAAGGAAGGTCTGGAAGACCAGGTATTGGCAGCATCCCTATAGGCAGTGTCTGAGGAGTCAATGCATGAAGGTATAATAGTCAAAGTGAAACTGCAGTGGAAATTCTGGGAAGGTAGAGATACCAAGAACACTGTATGTCTGCTGAGAAAAGCAGCAGGCAGTGGTCAGAGTCAGCTCAAGAGAGATGCCAGGTGGGTTACAACCAGCAATACCACAGCAGCAGAAATACCCAAGCCCTTTGGAGCTCACATCATGCTACAATATGCCCTGGCTGCTGGATATGAAGCTACAGGATTTAATGTTTATCCTGCTTGGATTTGGTCTTGCTTGAGTCCCATCTCTCCTTTTTAGGTCCCCATTCCTCCCTTTTGCAATGGGAATGTTTACTCTGCATCATTGTATCTTGAAAGTATGTAACTTACTTTTTGATTTTCACAAAAGCTCACAGCTAAGAGCTTTCCTTGAGTCTGAGAGAAGACTGAATTTGGACTTTTGAAAAATACTAGAACTATTGTCCAACTTCTGGAGATGGACTGAATGCATTTGCCATAATGAGACAGATATGGACCATATCTGGGGGCCATAGGCAGAATAATGCGGTTTGAATCAAAGATGGCCCCCCAAAGGCTCATGTATTCAGAGGAAGAGGCCTTCTAGAAGGTAGCTGGATCACAGGGCCATCAACCTCATTGATGGATTAACAGCTGAATAGGCTGTTAGGAGAAAAGGGCCACCTGAAGGAACACTGTCCAGGTCACTGGACACAACATGGAAGAGCATATCTCTAATTCCCCCCCAATGCCTCACTTTACGGCTGCCACAGATGAGTACTTTTCCTCTACCACTGCTTCCACCAGGATGCTTCTTTCTGCCTTGCCATAGGCCTGAGGCAATGGAGCCAGCTGACAATGAACTGAAACTGTAAGGCAAGATATATCCTTTCTCTTTAAAGTTGATTTATGTCAGGTACTTTGTCACTGTGACAGAAAGCTGATTAATACACCACCGTTGTCCTCTTTCTCTAATTAACAGGAGCAGATGTGGAAAATCAGCAAGGGTTGAGGGGGTAGGACAGGCCTACTCCAAGTGTGGGCCACAGACCAGCAGCAGCATCACCTGGGAATCCGTTAGAAATGCAAACTTCCAGTCCCACGCCAGAACTACGGAAATGGCATCGTGACCTTTGTGAGTGGGCCCTGAGCCTATGATCTAGGTTAACAAGCCCTTCTTGTGAAGGGAACACCTGAGCCAGGTGCACTCCAAGGGCCCACAGTAGTCATATTTGTAAACAAAAGCTTCATCTTGGCAATGAAAAAAAAAAAGAAAGAAAGAGGTGCTTGGGGGTGGGTGGGCCACATACCTTGCTCTCCGCTTCTTTACCCGACGCTCATGCTCAGCCTCTTCGTAATACAACTCATTGTGGCTTGAGTCCCTGCGCCGGGCGGCTGCAGCAATCATAGCCCGGGACTGACCAGTGGCATTGTTACTGGGGCCTTTGGGGAAAAGATGATGGGAGGAGCACAGCTTTAATACCAAGGCGCTGGCAACGGAGCAGAAAGTACCAGTACTGTCCACCCACCCCCCATGAAGCAAACACAAAAATCCTAACAGTATCTTCCCAGGAGGGAGGATTCCACATTCCCTATGGCCACAGCAAGAGAGCCAGGAAATCTCCTGACACAATCTGACTGGAAGAAACAGAAAAAGCACTCAGAAGGGGATAAAGAATGTCCAACACTTAGCCAGAAACAACATGTGGAGTGTGCTGAAGATGTCACTTATCATCTGTTACATAGTTTCAGTTTGGCCATAAAGGCAGCTGGGACACCACAATGAAAGAGAATAAGCGGGATAGGAGAACAAGGACAGAGAAAGAGAAAAAAATCAAGGGACACGGGACACTGATCACATGCAGAGAAACAAGCTGAGCTGGAATGTCATGGCAGTCATGACTTTTATAGAAAATACCAACACTTGAGGACACGCAAAATGGCCCATCTATGAATTCAAACTGAGAACTCCTGTTTCATCCCCTGATCACTGACCACCTTAATTTGTCACAAGACATGGCATATTCCAAGCTTTCTTATGAATGACTTAATTGGCTGGTGACTTGGTTTCCCTAGTGGGAACCTCCTAAGTTTCCAGATCACAGGTGAAATTTACCAGTTCTTCAGAATTCACAGGAAGTCATACACTTCATATGTAAAAAAAAATTGGGAGGATACTGCCACTAAAAACTGATATTATACATAAATCACTTTACTTATTGAAAACATGATCTCCTCTGGAGTCTGAAAAGCTCTTTCCCTGACCCAAGGTGCCACGCAAGAAACGACACCGTGTCCTATTTCTTAAACTCACACATGTGATACCCTCAAGCACAGCTCAGACTTTCTTAATCTGGCCTCCAGCCTCCTGCTACCACTCAACTCCAGCTCCCAGCCTACATGGACAAATGCCCATAAATATCTCACCAGGTGACTAAACTACTGAGATTTCTTGTCTTAAAGGACTAGGGTAGGTTTCTGTAGACTTTGAGTAACACTCAAATTTTGAAAATTGGTCCTTTCCTAATGTGGGGGTAGAGGTCCCAGCAGGAGGCAGAAAACACATTACTATTGTTTTTAATCATAAAATTCCCAAAATGAAATGCCCACATATCTAAACTGTAAATTAACAATCTTCTGAAAATGTTTGCCCATGTTTTTTTTTAAAAAGAAATTGGTCTGAAATGAAAACATACATAAGGTAAGTACATCTCAGGCACTGTTTTAAGGCACGTACCATCGACATTGTATACTTTCAGCCCGGCCATGTGTTTGGCTGCTCTGAATTTGGAAGCTGTTAGGAGGTTTGGGTTATAGATGGTGAAATCTTTGTAGTAATTTTCCAGAACCACCAAAGCTGCTCTTTGGATACTGCAAAAAAGAAGGTGAAATTAATGCAAAGTAGAATAAGCAGATCCTAAGTAAAAAAATCCTTTTTCTGCGTCAGGTAAGGTAATAAAACATCAAGGATAACCTTGACTTAAGTCAGCTGGTTTCCACATACCTTGCGTCTCCAGGATGAGAATTTAAAGACCCAACTAAGTCTCGTCACCAAGAGCTTTCCCCGCCAACACTCCAGCAATAGCCAAAGCCCACCTAGCCAACAGCTGGATGAGGAGGAAATTACAACTTATAACTGACATTTAGACAGAACTTTTCCTATTTTCCTCAGTTTACAAAAAAGGAAACCAAAAACCTTGGAAAGGCAAGAGATTTACCTCAGAGTGAAAGAACAAAGCACAGACTCGGGTTTCTTAGGACCCGGTTCAGCGTCTTGTCTCCTAGCTCACTAGCCCCGGGTCTGAGGAATCCTGGGTTTTAGGTCTTATGTGGATCAGAACAATGGCACCCACACAGGGTAGAATGTACTGAGAAGGTTTCATCTGAGATCATTTGAGTTTTATGGTCTCCAAAGCCCCCTGATCCTTGGACTGTTATCCCTGGCTCTCAGCAGAGGGGCATGAAGGGCACTAGCACTGTCCCAAGGTCTGAGTCATCAAGCTATCACCCACTAGATCTTAAGAGAGCAGTAAGGAAGACTACAGCTCACGTCCACAGTAGGAGTGTGGATGTGGGAGGGCACCATACTCAGAAACGAGCAGTGGTGGCACAAGGACGCATTCTTGGTCTCATGGGCAGCACACCTGCCATCTCGTAGAGCAACTTGCAGGGGCCTGGAGAAGGTTTTTGTATAGCCTATCTTATCTGACCTTACGATCATTCAGGATAAGAAACTGAAGCTCAAAAGTGTATGATCAACACAAGGGCATACATCTAATACACAGGAGAGCTGGGACCCTGACACAGACCAACAAACCTCCAACTCAAGCTCTTTCCCCTGTTACATGCAGCCTCTGCAAAACCACATGTGTCCCCCTGCAGCTCTTGAAGCTGTTCACTAACCACCAGGGTGCTAAATACTGCGCCTGTGTCTTTACTGTGCCCTTTAGCTTGACATTCCTAGTACTCTGCTGAGCAGATGGGCGCATGAGGATTATTTAGGATGGCCAGAGGACCAGGACAGGGCTGCCTTTGACTCCTAGATGGTCGACCACACTGCCCTCCAGTGCTCTCACAGTGGCTTGGGGATCCTTACTTCACAACAGACGATATAACACCCAAGCCACCATGTGGAGATTTCGTCAATCCACCCTCTCATCTTGGATCTAAAAGGATCTAGAAGTCAGGCCAGATAACTTCCCTGTGAGCACAATCATGGCAGTGCTCCCTTAGTTATATCACCAGCAGTGCCATGGTCAGTGATCCATACTGGTCCTACACACAATCCTGTGAGGCAGGGAAACACCGTCGGGGGGACTCTGGTGAGATCAACCTTGCATTACGGAAGTCTAAGCTTCCTAAGAGTAAAGTGCCATTTTGAAAGTCCTAGTCATTCCATTGCTCAGTTGATCATTCACCAGTCTCATATTTAAGTACCTGCATGTGCAAAGCACTGGGATACAAGGATAGATGGGAAAAGCTTCACTTTGGCCAGATACACACAGCACAAGGTGCTTGACAAGTGTGCTCTCACTCTAAGACACATAGCGGTTGACTAAGCACACAGGACAGCTTCCATACTGTCCCAGGAAAGAGCAGCATACAAGAACAGCTTTCCTGGGGAGCTGGCAATTGAGCTGAGGTTTGTGGCATTACAGGTTTTTTTGAAAAAGTCCATTCTACTTGCTCTGAGCTCCCTCCCCTCTACCTGTGGCATTCCCTGGAGGAAGGCAAGTACTTCTTCATCCTTCCTGCATCTAGATATTTACCACAACCCTTTTCCTGGTAACGCCTATGTGCTCTCTTCCACACCTATGTCACTTACTACCCCACTCACATGCTGATTTTCCAGTCTCTAGCCTTTTGTGTGAGGCAAGGAGTCCTCTGAGCAGAAATAAGCCCCAGCTGCACACACCTAATCTGTGAGTTCACACTATTTCATCTCCTACCCCTATACTGACATAGAAATTTCTCTCAGAGTCTGAATTCCAGCAGAAAATTATTTTCCTAATCAAAATTTTAAAATTAAAAGGCAATTCTGAAAATTCTCCTCAGGCCTGTTTTCAAAGCAAAACCCTCTTGTGGCTGTTAGGTTTTACTTTTCTGCTCAGCCACGCCAACAGGAAGAGCCCAAGGAGCCCCACTACCTCAGCTGGGCCAGCAAGAGAATCTGTCACATTGCTCACCCCACTCCACAGTCACAGACCACTGCCCTGTTCTGCCTGGAGAAATGGCTTCGATCCCAGCCCAGCTCCAGCAGGGATTCCACTCTCCACTTGGTCACAGTGCAACACAGGGCCTCTGGCAAATGCTGCTCACGCTGGGGCAAGGCCACAGCCTGCAGCATCCTGCCTCAGAGCAAAGCCCTAGGCATCCCCTAATGAGAGCCCCAATGCTTTGTGTGTGAATCTCAGTCTTCCCATGGCTGAAGAACCTCCGGTCTGAAAATCCCACAGAGGGCGGAGAGTGGCGTCTGGCTCATCCTCCAGCATGGCTTCTCAGTGGAGGCACCGCAGTGCTTCAGAGCCGGCGTGGACCTGGCTGGCCTCCCAGGCCGACACACTAAGCTGGAGCTGAAGGACTCTCAGCGCTAAGTTTACAAATGCCTCCAAGAGCTGTGCATTCAACAAACATAGCAACTGTAGGGAAGGAGAATTTCTATACAGCTAAAGATAACACATAACCAATGTATCCAGCTTTAAAAAATGGGGATGGTCTTTTGGATGAAAATCCCATATGCATCCTCCACTTTTTTACAGAGTAAGCTGTAATACATGTTCCTAAGACTTGGGGAAATGATTATATGTCTTCATTACTGAGCTGTGCTGTGTCTGTAACAGTGAAGACAAAGGTGCAACCAGCAACCAGAAGCTACCTGTCCCCATGCTCCATGCTGCAGGCTGCACTGCAGTCTGAATTCTCAAGGCTCTTTTCTTTGCTTTATCCCTTATTCTACTTCCTTAACACTGGCTATCAAAGTCAGTCTAGTTGCTGCGCCCTGGCACTAGCCTAAGTCATAGCCAGTATGCAGGGAGCACCTATCCCCTCGGCCAAAGGAAGAGCTCAGAACTCTTCCTGCCTTTATTCCTCCAGATATGTTACCACATGGGGCCAGAGCAGGATCAAACTCTTGCAGGAAGCCTCTCCACACTCTCTAGACCCCACCAGTCTGCTCTAAACTCACAGCATCCCAAGCCACCATATATGTTCTGTGGCACTCTTCAAGGAGTCGAGGTATTCTTGCCTGTTCAACAGCTTGTGTAGAGTTCCCCAGGCCCAAGAGACACCTCCTTTGATTCCTCCACAGGCATAATGTTTCTCCCCTTGTCTATTCATGAAACCCCAGAATTCCTATAGGTCTCGGATCAATTCTGAGAATACATTTCACAAAATTAGGCAATTTCAGAGGCAAAAAGAGCCTCAGAGATGAATGAAAGAAAACTCTTCAATTAATTCCAACGTTACAGCAGGTCATCTCTGGGGAAGGAGGAGGCACGAAAAATCAAGTTAGTGAGGAACATGGCATCTCTCATCACTACTTTATTCAGAGGCCAAAGTCACTGACTGGCTCTGCAAGCCTCAAGGGAGAACCCCACACTACATGCAGTCAAGTGGAGCCTGAGGTGCAGATTGCAGACGTGGCCCCACCAGAGGCCTAAGGCAGGGGACATTCTCCACCAAGGCCACGTGCCAATACACTCTCCTCTGTCACTATCCAGGGAGATACCTCTTCAGAGGCCACAAGGATTTGTGGGAAACAGCACATGGAGATGTGCCTACTTAGAACAGAATTTCATTTAATACCTAGACATTGAAAACACAAACACAGGAATCCAGCTACACGTACGAACAGACAACACAGGGAACAGAATACTCAGGCTCTGAAGAGGCTGATGTCACCAACTGGAAACAAATCTCCTCTGCTATGCTTGGGCCCAAGTTGGTCCAATCTTGAGCATATGGGAAAAACAGGGCAGCACTGGATCAGCCCAAATCACTGAGGGAACTGAACTGATACCCTCTTTCAGTTTAAAACTCACTGTTGAGCAGGTAGCCTATTTTCTTGACAGGACAAAGATAAAAGGTGAAATGTTGTGGTCTCTTGTGCTAATCATCTACAGAAATAACTCATGTCACTGACAACAACCACTGTGGCAAGAGGGAAGAAGACCTCACCCTGCAATAGACCTGGAAAGAAGCAAGAACCTGGAAACAGACCACCTTTTAGTTCATAGAAATCTGAGTGATACATTTTTGAAAGATATATTCTGAAGAAAATAAGAGCAAAACCCCAAAAAATATTCTACATTCCCAACACTTCCACCAAGCTCAATGCAGGCTACAGTCTAGATACAAAGACCATGAGAGGAAGCACACAATTCACACAGTAAGGATTTTTTTCTTTTGGTAGTGAGGATCGAACTTGGGACCTTGTGCCTGTGAGGCAGGCGGTGGAACTACTGAGCTAAATCCCTGGCCCAGCACACAATACAAATGGTACAGACCACAGGTATCAGACAGTATGAAGCTTGGCTCTGTCACTGTAGGCTCAGAACAACAACCCAGAACACCCTGTTAATATCATGGTAAGTGGGCTTCAAAATACTCACTGGTATAAACTGTATTACTGAAAGGCTAATAAAACAATGGGATAGACTAACGTAGCCAGCAATTCTAGAGAGTTCACAAGATCCAAATATGCCAGTTGCTGGCTAAGGTTGTCCACGGCTTGTGGAACTATCTAATGAGTTTTATTATTACTGAGGACAATTCTGAGTTCTATAACTTTCTGAAACTACAAATGTAATCAGCAGATAGGCCAGAAAAAAAAAAAAAACACTGAAGACTTGGACAGTCTCTATTTTCCTCCC